AATGTTCACGCAGAGGTGCTCGAGACAATGCTGGAGTGGGTCACTGGGGGAGGTGGCGCCCAAGATGTTTTGGATGACCCACAGTTGCTGCAAAGCCTGCAGTCTTTTTTGGAGAGTCCTGATGATCACGTTTTTCGTGTTCCCGCGGACCTTGAAGGAGAGGCTAGTCTAAAGCAGTCCATGTCGTCATTACGTGAGATGAGGCAGTCTCTTCGCCGTAATTTCCGAAGTCAGTCAATGCGCCCTTCTTCACGAACTCCCTCATCATCGGCCATCATACCGTCGCCAAGCATTGTCCGTGTGCGGAACATGAGCGCTAGGGAATCCCCTGATATTGATCGAATAAATGCTGAGGAGCTAGTGGAGACCCTTGACGGCATGGCTTGTGCGACGTTTAGCAATGTTACGGAAGAGGTATATATTTCTCTGATGTTTCATTTCTGACGCTAAAACCGGGTCCGTAACAGGACCTTTACATCACGTCTGACTTACTTGAAGTTCAAAGCGCTGACCGAACCGGCTGGTTTTCGTCTAAAGAAGGCCCCTACCGCCGAAGATAGTATCGAAATTCAGACCATTTATTCTCACATCCAAGACGTCGAACCTTCACTTCTGATCTCGGAACTTGGCCAAGATTCCCTCTACCGACTTCTTCCCCCCGGTGTTCGCAGTTGTATCAGGGCCTACGCCATCTTACGCAAATGGCTGATATCAAAGATTGTGGCGCCACGATTAGGACTACAAGCTCGACAAGCTCGGATGGAGCTCCTGCTCCGGACCATTGAAATCAGCCGTATGCGGAATACAGAAAAGAGTTCGAAATCGAGGCTGATTGACCAAGCCTGTGTTCGTTCATTTGTTGAAGCCGTGGTGTCGTCTGCAGTAATGAGCGTTGAGAGTCGAATGCACTATAGGGCCTGGCAAAACGTGGCGGCAAGCCGCAACACGCAATGTGATTCTCTGTCATCTCTACTGTCAAGATCATCTAGCCAGTCTTTAGGGTCAAAGGATGCTTTAACAGTTGATATGGGTTGGGTCATAGAACGGCTTCTTGACGTTATATCGACACCTGATGTAGTAGAGCCAAGCCAAGATGGTCAGAGCCTCGTCAACTTTGATAAACGCAGGTGAGTCATTTTACCCACAGCGAGGCAGGTCCTTGATTTTCGTCATCCAGGCACTTGTGCAATCTGATTGCCAACACACCGCCACTTCACTCTTCCCGGCAACGTGGCGATATAGCGCGCCGGGGCTTTGAACGTTTGAACAACATCGAACGCGAAGTCGTGGCCCTGCAATTTGATCATCGGGGGATACGGGAGGAAGGCCAACGCGAAGGACTACACGGGAACGCCAATGGTCCGCCGTCGACTAGGAGGCTGTCTCGTCCATTCCAACGCATACTCCTGGCCCAGACGGACAAGATCAGACGTGATCGCAATTGGCGGAGTAGGCTTCAAAAGGAGAAACTTCTGGAGCAGTCAAGGAACGAGAAGCGCGAAGACATGCTTAATAAAGCCATGCGACCCCGAAAGCGTCCCGGCACTCCGACGAAACAGCATCGCAACAAGAAAAGCATGTCAGCATTTTTGCACTTCATGCGGCCGATCTCCAGTGCCTTTGGCAGTGAACCTACGCACGGTCCCGAGTTGAAACGAACAGTCTCTGAACTCGACTTCACCCCCACTGGGAAGCCGGTTTTGGTGCTCAGCTTGGTCGACGCGCGTGTGGTCGAGTTCATCAATAACGAGCGCTCGTATATGTTCAAGGTCGACACTGAAGACGGAGGCCATTATCTGCTGCAGGCGATGAACAAGCGGGATATGACCAAGTGGTTGGAGACTATCAACCGGGTGACGAAAATGGCGGCTAAACGTCGACTTACGTACATCGGCAGTTCGCCCAAGCCCGAATTGTCCGATCTCAGGGCAGGATCTTCAGCACCGTCAAGAGACCCTAACGCTGGTAAGTCGATATCCCTGTCCAAGCTACTACCCTCCCTTACACCTTATGACAGTCTTTGGTGTTGACCCCCGAATCCTGCTAGAGCGAGAAGCCGAAGGAGGAGACGTTCCCTACGGCGCTCTGCCAAAAGTCATCGAGCAATGTCTCTCAGAGATCGAAAGCCGTGGTTTGACTGAAGTTGGCATTTGTAAGTACCAGGTGAACGTGGCACTGGTTTTGTACTGACAATATTCTCCAGATCGCATTGCTGGTGCGACCTCTGAGATCACCAGTCTCCGTGAGGCTTATAATCGAGGTAGGAAGAACTGTTCCCACAATACAACGTCATTTAAGCCGTTTTCTTTGTAGGGTTAAGTCCGATTAAAAGTTCGACGGATATCCATGCTGTGTGTGATCTTGTAAAATCGTGGTTTCGGTTGCTTCCAGAGCCCGTCTTTCCTGCTGCATCTTACTTCGAGATCATTGAAGCGACAAGTGCGTTTTCTCACGTTCCATGAGCTCGCCACCTGATTGATCGCCGAATACAGAGCTCGAAGATCTAGGATGCTCGATTATCAGCGATACAACGCATCGTCCAGAGCCTGCCACAAGCGAACTTTGACCTTCTAAAACGCGTTTCAGAGCATCTCGACAAGTATGTACTACATTTCTTTATGCATTATTTCGGACTCATTCGTGCGACAGAGTCACAGACTTTGAAGAGTACAATCAAATGACGGCAGAAGCATTGTCGATCGTTTTCAGCCCCAATCTGTTGCGCCCTCCCAAAAACGACTTCACCATGCTTCTGGCTAACATGGGACATACCAATAAACTCGTTAAAGCACTCATTACACATGTAATACTCTTTCCTTGATTGCCGTTCTTCGTCACTGATTGGTATCATTACAGTTCCACGCCATCTTCGACGAAGCCGACCCAGACGCAGAGGCGGACCCGGACGATGAGGAAATCGACTCTCCAATCTTGGAAGAAGAGGAAGATGATGCCATGCCGTTTAATCCGGACCCAGAACCCACTCCCTGACTTACCGACCACAACACTATGCCGTTCATTCATCGTCACCATCCTTGTACCATGTTGCGTCACACACTTTACTCCTGGGACTTCGGACTCGGAATCATCATAAAACTTTCATGACTACTTATATGGACGTTTGGCATCCTTAATCCGATTTTTATCTCTTATGCATGTTTTATTAGAAGGTAAAAATATCCTGTACACTGGCACCAATTTTGAGAGTTCATTTAGGTTTTGACACGCTTACCATATGCGAACGTATTACTGCGTATAATTGATGTGTATATGTTAGATTGTAACTATCAACAGCTGGGTGCGCCGCCCCGCCTTTGTATCACAACCGCATCGTGCAGCGCAATGTTCGGCAATTCTTGGCAAGGTGTGGTCGGCGTAGTTTCAAATTCTGCTGTACGGATGCGGATGGGGGTTCCCAAATCGGCAACACAAAGGAAGGTAGTACAAAGAAACTCTGCTTAATGCGGTTCCTTTATTCCTCATGATACATATACAGGGGACTGCGACGGAAATGTCATCTTTCCTTTCCTTTCTTTCCCCTCCCATCCCAGGCTTGCTTGATTCCTCATTTATTCTTTTATTATCGCGTTGACCGTGATCATGAACTCGACCTACAGCCGCTACGAATTTCCAGAAGACGTACAGATCTCTCGTGTTCCCCGTGTACGGGAGATAATGGTATGTGCATTCTAAAGAACATTGACCTTTAGCTCACATAAGGCTTTACAGATTCTGGAGCTGAACCTACAGCGTCTCAAGAAGACCATGGAGGGGCTTAATGCTAATTGCGACAATTTAATGACCCCGCCTCCCCCTTCCAACTCTTTAAACTCTTTATCGCTCTCCGGAGAGCCTTTCACTCCATTTCATGACGACGAAATCATGACCGACGTTACAGTCAGCGAAGATCCAATCGATGCACATTCCTCCATATCTTCCAACGATACCACGTACTACTACACCCCCGACACATCCCCCATCCTGACTTCATTTCACATGAATGACGACGACGGCGATTCCATGTCCGACACTTCTCTCCCCGTCACACCTGACGCGTTCGACATCCCCCCGTTCGAATTCGACCCTCTCTCTGAGGATGTTGATGATATTCTGGAAGAACGCTCTCGATATGATGGATGGAAACAGCTAGCCAGCAAGCTCAACCTCGAGTTATTTCGAGACTACTTCTTGCGTTATCACTCCGGTCCTCGGCGTAGGGTGGTCACTAGACATCCGTATTATGCGCATTGGGCTCACGCGAAACAAGCGGAATATGTGTCGCCTGTGACAGCAAATGTGGACACTGGTGATGGGTTGCATAGTTTTGGGTATTCACAGGGAGTCTTGGGAGAACGGATAGAACCTCAACGATGACGCTGCACTCGGATTGATTTTGACATTTCTATATTACAATCATTCTTTTCTTCGTATTTTGTACCTACCTAGCGTGGGTTAATTATTAGGCCATCACATCACTACCATATATTAATGTACAACATCGAGTAGTATAAAGGGCATCTGTCGGTAGTTTTCGCTGGTCCTAGTCATGGCCCTCAGAGACTGTGTCTCAAATAGACTGCCTTCTGCATGCTATTATCACTATACTACGATAGCATTGTTGTTGAGAAACATGAGATGGAGAGAACAGATCGTGTATGAACCCGGTTATTACTATATGTACAATGATGCATGAAAGGGTCCTGGCGTACTCTCGACCAATGACAAACAGCCACCACGGCGAGGACTAGAAGGTAGGAATCGGCTGAGTGGCAATCAAGCGTACCGAGAAAAACTTGACGGATGGATGATGATTGCCCGGGAGCAGAGTTGCTGTTGATCTAGATGACTTTCTAAACACGTATTGCGAAAGCATACTGAGTGAATAATCAGGATTTGACTTTTTAAGACTTGCAAGATGTGAGTTGGTCACTCGAAGGGGGCTGAGTCACTTGATATTAAAATGATTAATAGAGGTGAAATTTTCAAAAAGCAAAAAGACATGATGAGAGTGGGATTCGAACCCACGCCCTTTCGGACCAGATTATATAATCACCACGTGATTTGGTCCATATCCTTAGTCTGGCGCCTTAACCGCTCGGCCATCTCACCACAAGTACTCTTGTTTTGAATGGCATTAAGTATCGGTCGACGTCAGGTTTGAACGAACCTTAATCCGAGCGCTTCGTCTCCATTCTTTGCATCCTTGTACATCTTTTAACTGCGCATACCAACTTTTCAAGTCTTCTTCGTACCAATACAGTCTGAAGTGGGAGAAATTTTTGGCGAGTGAATTTTCTTTCTCATATTTTGACGCACAAACGTGACACGGAACCGACTAATGTCAGACTGAACATCCATGGCATGTTCCTCGGGCTTCTATTTTCCATCCATTCGTGCTGTCCACATATCTTTCCATACCTTCAGCCATTGCGTCTACTTGGCTTTTCCCCATCGAGCAAGTTCCTGATCTGTCGTGGCTGACAACCAAACATTTTTAGGGCACTAAATGCAGTCATCTCGTCTTCCTCGACCATCCTCACACTCGATGTGGGCATCTACATTTAGATTTACTAGAACCGGGCATAAAGTTCACTCAGTGTCCATGTTCGCATCTTAGTGGCAGAAGTGCTCTTCCGGGTACAACACCACCCAAACATTCGCGCATTCGCTCAAAGAATTGTAGAAGAGCTGTGGTTGTAGACGGTCCAAATAAAAACAGTCGCAGAGGAATGTGCATTTATAGTGACGTGAATTCGCCGACGCCCGCAACGTCGCTTCACGAGCACCATGCGAGCTTTGTGCGCCTTGTCCTTGTCCTTGATTTGGAAGCTTCTCCTCTTACAGGAGCTGCGCAGGTAAGGTCAGGCTCGAGTCTCTTCAATGACGTCCGACCCGCACACAATCTATCACAAATGTCTGCAATAAATTGCACTGACCGAAAATGGCGGGCCAGCAGCAAATCCCCACCCTCTTGCGCATTCAGTTCTACTTACCATGAATACGACCTCGACCCCGAGAAAAGTTTTGTTCTTCACAAACAGCGAATACGGGCAGGCCAACATTGTTCTGTCCGTCGCGCACGAGCTCTGCCTTCGCCCAAATGTAGAAGTACACATTGCGTCTTTTCCTGGTAACTTGATTTCGTTTGTTCGATCCTCATTATCTACTGATGCTGATTTTGAAAGTGCTCTCACCCCGTATCAAGGACCTGCAGGACCGTATTCGTGTGACAGGCAGTCCTGCCCGGGTATTCTTCCATCCTCTCAGGGGGATATCCCTAAAAGAAGCTCGGATACGCAGAATCGGAATCAACACTCCCACCCACGCGCCCAGTCTCTCTGGCGCTCTCCGGAGTTTTAGACGCTTACCGTACTATGTTGCCGAATGGTCTGGCCCAGAGTACATGGAGCTCTACGACAGCTGCGTCGAGATCATCCAGGATCTTAACGCACACGCTATCGTGATTGAATACTTCCTGAGTCAGGCTATCGACGCGTGTCGATTCCTGAATCTAAAGTTCATTATCATGACACCAAATGCACCCAAGGTGTGACTCACCTTCATTTTATAGCAGTTCGTGCTCTTACAGGTATCTTTGATATACAGGACATTATCGGCCGCATCCAGCCGTACGGCTCCATATTCTGGAAGTATCCTGTCATGTCGTCCGGTATCCCGTACCCCATGTCGTGGTATCACATCCCGAAAAATGCTTTTCTCACCTGCGCCATGGTGTACTTCATGTTTTCTTCCCCCAAAATCCAGGAACTCGTTCAATACCGTCAGAAGCTCGGTCTCAATAACACCATTCCCATGTTTGAACCATACATGGCCGACGCACATTATCTCTGTCCCGCCACCCCCCAAACCGACTTTCCCTGTGTCGTTCCGGACAACGTAACGCTGTGCGGCCCCATCCTTGTTCCAGCAGTTCCAGTGGAAGAGGAAGACCCAGAACTCGCCAGTTGGCTTGACAGAGGACCGACCATGCTTGTCAACTTGGGAACGCACGCTGTTTTTGATGAGGACAACACTTGTCAAATTGCGACGGCTTTGCACATCTTGCTCGGTCACGACCGTTATGTTCAGGTTATCTGGAAGCTCAAAGCACATGACGACGTGCAGACCTCCTTGCGTGATATTTTAGGGATCTATATGGAGAAGGGGAGAGTGAGGATTGTTGACTGGCTAGACGTTGAACCATTAGCAATCCTCAGGCATCCCAATCTCATCTGCACTGTCAATCATGGTGGAGCTAACAGCGTCTATGAGGGAATTCAGTACGTCTTCTTCAGTTCACCGATAATCAAACTCTGCTAACCATGCATTAGCACCGGTATCCCTCAAGTAGTTCTGCCAATGTGGTACGACTGCTACGGTGAGCTATCGGCATTGGGATGGAATCTAACTGAAAAAAAGACTATGCAGCGCGTGTTGAATGGCTCGGGATCGGCATTTACGGCAATAAGAAATCTGCGCCAAGAGTAGAAGCCTCCGAGCTCAGTCGCGCTCTGATTAAGGTAATCGACGGAGGTGACGAAGCTGCGCGATTCCGAGCCGCAGCCAAGTCTCTAGCTGAGGACACCCGAAACTACTCTGGGCAGGTCATGGCATGCGACAAGATAATAGAACTTGCGCGCACGAAGTAGTTTGAATGGCGTAACGATGGATGGTATGTTTCCTTCGTAGACAGTGGGCAAGGCTTCAAGGACCTTTGTAAAGTAAAAACGGAGTTTCTGTTTCTGAGAACAAAGACGAGAAAGAATGGATGATACGCGTTGCCACCTAGAGAAATCGAACCTTTGTCCAAGGAGTGGCATTAAGCGTCTCATAAAATGGAAAAATGAACTGCGCGCACAAATCTACACCATATCCCCAACATATCTTTCAAAATCGTCGAGCGCGGGAGGCCCAGCATCTGTCGTCCTCATGTCAACGTCCAACGTCCCCAAGCAACCCCGACGCTATCGACGCGGCGTAAGGAAGGCAGCATCGGCCAAACCGGAGGCGAACGTGGAATCTCCTTCTCGACGCCCACCGCCGACGACACAGAACCCAAATTCTTGGCCCCCGCAAATGGTGAAGCCGACCTAGCCTCAGTTCCTTTGACTAACTCCCCTCATAGATCTCGTTCTCAGCGATTGAGAAACTCTTCAGAAAGTTCAGAGAGGAATACGAGGCTCGTGATCCTGCCACACGCTACGGACAGCTTTCGGATGATGAGGTCGTTATCTATCCACGGGTGCTACGTTGGACGTCGGTGCTTTCATCAGCGGGTTGTGTCGAGCACTATAGCTCCCGTTAATGCGCATATAGTCAATTCGGAGCAAGGATAAGGCGCATATATCCAGGTCGAAGAGGTCCGCTAGCCTTCCTCAGTGACAGGCAACGACGCCACCGACGCCACATCAACAAGGCGTTGACGGGGATGTCTATAGATATCACACCTGTATTCATCATGAGCAATATTCGCATTCCAACAATTACTGATGCGTACTTGAATGCTGTCCAGATAGCCAACGCCGACGACGACGATTCTCGTCAAGCAACAGCTGCCTCCCCTGTGAGTCTTCTTGAATCTTCGTGGAAGTATAAGGCAAGCATTCTTGAAAGCGTTCGTCCTCAAGAGGAGGTGAGGTGAGGGAGCGTGGCGACGATGATAGTGAAGCCATGGGAGGAAGTGAAGAGAGAAGGCCAACGCAACCAGCAATGATGACGCATCGAAAGTATTTTGTCCGATCGCCTCCGATTTTTCATCATGACGAATTGGTACAGAAATTGCCAAAATGGTATTATACAGTCGAGGCATTACATACAAGATAAGTATACTACAGTCCTGGCAAACAGTTTGATATTAGGATTCTAGCTCGTCCATGGAATTAACCGAGACCGTCAAAATCAATTCTTCCTTTCCACCGCAACAGCAGGAGTATTCGGCGGCGCCAACAACGCGCTTGAAGGAGGAGGCATGGAGGCATCAGGGTTTACGCTAAGCTTAGCATGTTTCATGCTCGACGCCAAAATGGCATCATAAATGTCGCTGCCGACGACGAGATCCGCCAACGATTTCGCAGACGACTGTGACGAGTCTGACGACAAAGCAGGTGAGGCCATCCTCTGGAATGACTTTGGGTCCAGCGCGAGTTCAGATATCGTTGGGCTAGCAGGGGTAGGACTGAGCACGGGGTGTGGCGGCAGAGCGCCAACGTCTGCTGCTGCTTCGTGATGTGCCGCGCGTCTGCGGCGAAGAAATTCGAGAGGCATGCTACAATGGGAATGTCAGGATGAGGAGCAGAGGCTCAAGTCAACTACATACCTGAGTAATACGGGGAAGTGTGGTTTACAGAACGAAAGGTATTACCGGAGGGCGTCAAGCCTTAGGCCAAAGTATGCGAAGATGGAAGGATGATCCCCCACCCAGGTCCCACCAGTCCTTTTATATGCGGGCACAGCCAACAACAGTGTATACCCGTTCCCATGATAAACGTGATCCCATCTAAGAGATTCCCGATAAACAGCTACGGTAGGGCTGAGACCGCCGCTTAAGCATTTGATTCCATGCATTGATACAGGTCGCCTGTTTATGGGTGGTCGCCACCGGTGGTGCCGAGCGGCACTGGCACTGAGGTTCAGTGAATAGGCGTCAGCGCTTCAGCACTCATCGTCTTATCTCTCGGTGCCGAAGGTAGAAAGCCAACCCGCATTGGCCAGGCAAAAGCGCAGTTATGTCACATCCGGCTGGTCCAGCTTAGTGTTGCCACGGCTCGGCTCGGAGTCGTCGAGCCGTCGAGCGGAGTCGAAAATGTACCGAGTCGAGTCATGGCAACGACTCAGGCCCAGAACGGCTCCGCTCGGCTACGACTCGACTTTTGGCGGCTCGAAGCCGGTCGAGTCATTGGTTGTACCCAATTAGGAAATATATTTCATATGCTCTTTCATTTGGCTTCGGTGAAGGATATGGAGGCAGGTTCAGGCATGTAAGGGATCATATTTAAATGTATCAACTCAAGAATGTCAATTAAGTGCTATATGAATGATCCATAAACAGTATACAAAAGCATGAAAGCAAAGATTTACTCCCATTTTGAGATATCAGCATGTACATTGGG